ACGATATTCAGTGCTGTAGGAAAGTGTGTCCAAACCTTTGACCAGTAGATATAAACTAGGAAAGGGGAAACAAAGGTGTAAACAAATAATAAAAAATATTAATAAAATACAAAGAGTGTTCTGTCCTGGCTCAGCTTTGTGAGGTCGGCCAGGACAGCACTATGGTTGTTATTTTCTAGTGAAAGGATAGTCTTCTTCTAAACTGTCATGTAGCTGGCTAACTTTAATGTGTGTGTCCTTGTAATTCCTTCATGTGACAGAGTTCTTTACTTGTTAGACTAGAAAACTTTATTTTTACAGCATATAGAATTTAATATACAGTAAGAAGTGAGTGCAGGCAGAAATTTATTCAAAATGTAAAAGAAAACGCTTCTTGTGACGTACAATATTTGGTTACCAAGTAACCAGATGTACTTTTTGGACTTTTTCCAAGACAAAAATAAAAACAAAAAAGCATAATTGCCATGTTTTGAGCTGTCTTCAATTTCGAGCGCCCTAGTGTCTTTGATTATAGAAAAAAGCTACGGACAGTTGTTTAGACTGAAAAACACATTTTTATTATAGGCAGACCTTTTTTTGTTACTGCTGCTCTGTTTCCGTATCACTGAGTGCATTCCTTTCACAATAAGCTTTGAGTGGTTTACTTTGCTACAACCGAATCTCCTTTAGGAATAAAAAAGATGATTGACAAGCTCATGATTGCATATTGATCTTTTCAAAATATACACAGACCATTATGACTGCAGTCAATTTATGACTTATTCTATCATGTTGTCTCATTCGGTATTCTAAAACAGAAAAAACTCTGACCTCTAATAGTGCAGTGACTGCATAATGTGCTCCCAAAAACCTACCAAAAATGAAACTTTAATAGATGGTGACTTAAAGAATTTAGAGAATACTTGATGGGGATCCAGGTGCGTTACTGACACCTGCATACAAATATTGTCAGCACATGTAATTTTACTAGTTATATGAGGAATTGAGATATGACCTGTGGCAGCTTTTACTTTCAGTTCAGAAGCTTTAACAGTATAGGATAAATACTATTAAATTGCCATATATTACAGTATATTGTTAAAGATTACAATAGATTCTTGGAATTGTCTGAAGAAGCAATGAGACAGATGTACACTGTATACACATCCACACACACCAAGTCTATGTGGATAAAAGTTCAGGTTATACCCAATTACATGTTTGTGGTGCTTATATGCTTATTTTATTGAATCCTAACAGTGGCATCTGCTGGACATTTAGAGAATTGATTTCCTTATTCTAGAAGACAGCATGAAGAAAAAGCTAGCATAGGTAGCCACAAATATACATGAACAGATAGTTAGAAATGAACAAATGAAACTTTTTTATATTAAATAAAAAAAAACTGTGTAATGAAGAATCTTATTCTCTTCATAAGCATATAACTGCTGCTTTCAAAGCAGTATTTCAATACCGCAATAGTTAGAATCAACTTTACAGTATTTTTTTGTTGATACTGTGCTTTGTTACCAAGTTTTGCCCCATTTTCCTGGGGTAGTTGCTATTAGTGCTCCTCTTTGTATTTGCTGGAAATTGCAAATTGTCAGCAGCATTTCACACTTGCACATGTATGTGTACACATTAGGATGGCTAGAGCCTATAGAGTACTGTACAACACACAGCGTCTTCAGGGCAGCAGAGGCTGTGTCTCTCAGAGTCTTGTCTCTTTCTGTGCTGTGGCTCAGCAGTAAAAATCCTCTGGGGACTGCAGAGCCTCAAGACTGCCCATACAAGTGCAGATGCAGTAGTAGCAGTACAATAAGCAAGACAGTGAGCCAATCCTGGCCTGATGCTGTGTACAAAAGTGGGACAGTGTATGCCTAAAGCACAGTGAAGTGGTCTTGTGAAGAGAGGTCCGTGGTTCAAATTCCCATGGGTTAAAAACTGAATGACTAACAGTTTCTGCCTCTTGCTAAAGTATATTCAAGGTGCCCTCAAGGCAACAAAGGCCTGAGTTGTTTAAACTCGGGCCAGTTCATCGGTTCTCAAGTGGAAACACAGTGGTACGTCATTGTATGTGAACCATGGCTGTGTAGAAAAACTATATACAAGCTCAGCAAATGCTTCCCTTGATAAAGGTTAATAAAATAGTTGGTGCTCAACCTTTGCACTAGCCGAGCAACAAAATCTCAAGACACATTAGGTTACTGTATTGATTGTTTGAAATGCCACACAAAGTCTTGTATGAGAACCCAAGAGGGGGTCAATAAGCACATTTAACTGCTGAACTGAACTCAAAATGTATTAAGCTGAAGGAAAAGGTCAGAATTTAGGGCTGGAAAATTGCATTTTTTGAAAAGTAAATGCTTTATAACAATGTCTGAAAATCTCAAGGCATATCTGCAGTGTAATAAACTACAGTAACAATTTGATGATTTGATGCCATGTAGGAAACATGTAAACACATCACCTAAGTACTGAGTCATAGATCATATACTATAAGTCTCAGAAGCAGGTTTTAAGAAGATAATTCCCCTCTGGACATCCACATATTGAGAAATGACACTTTATGCTTGGTTTGCTTTTTTTGAAGAAGCACAGATGCTTCATTTTGTGACTCATGAGTTTATAGATTTATTATGCAATGAGAGCAGTTGTTTCCCAGATGAAACTGTTGTGATGACACATTCTGCTAATTATAGTCAGAAGGTAACCTAGTTTTCTTAGCTGTGCTTTAGCTGTGTTGTGTCTAATGTCTGTTTGACTTGTTACACATAATTGAACCCTTTTTAGAATAAAATGCTGTGAAGAACAATATTTTATATGACAACCATAAATGCTCATTGTGTAGCACTTAGTATACATGTGTTTGGCAGCAATAGAAAGAAGCCTACCCATTCTATCTTCCACATACCCTCTGTATTGCAGGCTGAGTTACAGACAGACAAGCACACACCTCTGTTATTCGCAGACAGCAACTTGTAAATTTGTGTGTCCCTTTTTTAACCGTTTGCTCATTTTTGAGTCATTTTTGCCATTCACATTACTGAACCATGTGTACACACATTGACCTTCAGCTCATTCTACAGTAGCTATTCAGTAGCTAACCGCACTGGAAAACCAGGAAGAGCCCCTGATGTCTGCAGGAAGTTCATATGATAAGATCCAAAACTTCCTCTGTCACAGGAAATTCATAAACTCAAGTGAACTCAATAAGTTGAGGTCTAAACTTAGTTTGTCATTAGCGGCTCTCTAGAGTAGTCATCTTGCAGAAGAAAAAGTACAGATGCTGACAAGTGCTTCGATGACTCTGTTCCTATGGTAACTGAAGTTTCTAATAATGTGGTTATAAAAAGAATAATTAACTTATTCCCTCATTGTGAAGTAAAGATGATTGGACTCCACTTTGCTAGTAATATGCAAACATGGATCAGGGGCTATATGTGTATGCAAAAGTGCAGTGGTTTTATAACCAAGCTGAATAGGATTCTCTAAATATTAAGAAAAGGTTTAGAGTGGTGGTTTCCAAATTGGAGGTCAGGAGCCTTTCTGCCACTGGTAGGCAAATAGGAGCTTGTGGGCCAAATCTGGTCCTCCAGCAAAGTTTTAGATTGCATTAAAATGTTTGCATAATTTTTATAAGCTCTATAAGTACCAAGTACCAATGTCGATAACAGGCTTGTGTAAATCTCACTAAATATAAACTTGCATCTCAAACACAGTAAGTCTAATCATAGTCCAATAGACAATGGCTTGCTGTATGACTTGAAGTTCAATAGAAAGCATACATACTGTTATAACTTTGTTAGTATTCATTCATAACATAAGAGTTAAATATGTGCAGAACGTGATGTATGATCGGTGGTATAGTTGTGAATCATTTAATGTATGCAGATGACCTTGTGATTTTTAGTCCCAGCTCAGCAGGTCTTCAACAGCTCTTGAACGTGTGTTCAGCATTTGGGGAACTTCACGATGTCAAGTATAATGCTGTCAAAAGTGTTATTATGATATGCTGTACAAATGAGGACAGGTCCCTTGTATTCCCTTCTTTTAAGTTATCTGGTAATATTTTAACTGTGTGCAACGAAGTTAAGTACTTGGGTCATGTCATAAATGATTGTTTGTCTGATGTCTATATATCGGCAGTGCCGTATGTTGTATGTATAAGCTAATATAATGGCACAGAAATTTGGTTCATGCTCGGTTGGTTTATTGTACCTCCTTGTACACTGCCCATCTGTGGTGTAATTATAAAAAGGGTAGTCTTCGGAAACTGTCAGTGGCTTACATTGATGCCCTAAGGCTATTATTGAAAAAGCCTAGATGGACGAGTGCTAGCGGACTGTTCGTGTCATTTCGAATGAGTACATTTCCCGCTGTTTTACGAAATTTGATGTATAAATTTATCTGTCGCCTGAATGGTTCTGGAAATCATATCATTTTATTGTTGACTAATGTTGCATACAGTGACGTGCGTTTTACTTCTGCTCTCTGGAAACATTGGTATGCCTGCCTTTTAAAGGGATAGTAGTTTATGGTTGTTCTCCTGTTCTTGTTTTTATTTTATTTTTATTGTTCTTTTATTGTCTTGTTTTAATTTGGACCTTGAGTCTATAATAAAGTGTCATTCATTCACTAGTGAATGGGAAAAAGTATCTGCTCCCAGTCACATTTCTGAAACACATTATAAACTACCTTACAACAAATTCTGTTATGTAAGAATCACCTTTAGGTTGAACTGCTCACAACTTCTATGTTACAGCTTAAAGCCATGAGTGCAGTGCATTCCTGAAGGGAAGCAGTAACTTTACACAGACCAAAAGGCCAAGGTCTAAACTTCCTGAAATTGGAGCTGCTCGAGTTTTCTTAAATGAAATATACATCCTTCAAAAAGAAAAGGTGTTGACATTTCACATTGTCCAGCCTTATGAAATCTCTCAGAACTCTTGACATTCTCGCATACACTGCTGTATTATTTCAGAGGACAAAAACAGTACACTTCAATGTGAAAAGGAACATTTATTTTTTACCCCGTCATAGGCTTCTCTCAGATGATAGTCAGGCAAACACTCAAATCCTGTTTTTCATAAAAATGTCTACAGAGAAGCAACATATAACACCATAGTCATGAAGTTCAATGAACACATTAAATTAGGCAATATGTATTTGTATCATATAATATGGAACATACAGTTCAGTGTTGCTGCCAGCAAGGCAAAGAATCAAACTTTTTATTTATCCTCCCTACTTTGTACCGATATTGAAACAAAATAAAATCATCAGAATCATAGGATTTGGAATTCACTAAATTCCTTCTAGAGATTCATTGGCAGCATTACTGTAATTTGTTCTTTTAAAATTGCAAGGAATTTGGGAAAATCCAAATCAAGATTGAGTTAATGACTGAAGTGAAGACTGAGGTGCCACCCTACTGACATCATTACTGTGCAACAGGTCTAAGGACAGACCCCTGTGCATGGCTGTGTTGCATAAAAAGTGAAGGAGGTGTGTTTTTATAGAGAAGTAAACAATATGTTACATGTCGATTTGATTAAATAAGACCTCAGTAAAAATGTATATTTTTAAAAGACAAAAATGGAAAGACCCTCATAAAAGCATATGAATGTTTCTGCAGTATTAGCGCACTAGCACAAACATTGCACCAGAGCCAAATGATTGTTTTGCCGAAACAACAAAAACAATATGAACAATGTGCAAAAAACAAGGTTTACATTTAAGTCAATTCGGCTTTTTATATTCACATAATGCAGTGTCCTCTTTGTCACTTTTTAAAAATAATTCAGCATTTATTAACAGCATAAAATTTTAAGTTAAACAGTAATGGCTACTTTGGTTCCTTTTTAATGAAGTAGGCTAGGATGAAGGGGTTGAACTTAGAAAACTCACATTTGTGTGTCTGCACTGTAAGTATGGTGGTTTATAGGATTTTCAAAGTTCCATATTTGATATGATGGTGTAAAAAATAGAAATTGATTTGTGGATTATTTCCTTGTTGCCAAAGTACCTTAGAGTAGGAATGTCTGGCCCAACAAAGTCCATTTGTGTTGGTTTTCTCTGGACTGACTCCAGTTTACTGTCATCTGTCTAGGGTCAGGTTTCACTTAGTCTTTTAGAATCAGAATGTGAGCCAATATCATATTTGCCTTTTGAAATCATAACTCAAAAGCACTTGGTATCTCAATAAAATAACAACCCAATGATTTCTTCTTTATTTATTTTTTGCATTCTAAATATGCACTAAGTAACTTTGCACAAACAGTAGCAAGTGTTTAAGTTATTTGGTTTGTAAAACAGATGTCATTTAGCTATTCACATTCTTATTTTATTTTACCAGAACTGTGTGTCTGTGATGGCATATATCAAAGAAAATCAAATGAGAAAACAAAATGTCAAACGCTTCCTCACTAACTGCTGCTTATATTTCATTCATCATTTTGTTACCATCCTCTGGGTGCACAAGTGTGCATGACAAGAATATGATTGGATTTGATTGGATAGAGCAGGTCTGCAGTATATGAATTTCAAATGATGCGACAACTCTTCTGTTTTCTATGAACCATGAGAATTTTCACATATCTTGCCCAGTGCAGCTTAAAGATATGCTGATTGATAGTTGTCTGTCTGTAGCTTTCAGTTGTGGGTTTCGAGCCCCTCTAGATGGTCAGGGATAGGTAAACCAGTGAGAATAGTCAGACACCTATTCCACACATTGAACACAGGACACACAGGTTGGACAAAGGAAACGTGAAATGTGTGCAAGTGCTGTGAGCCCACGGCATCGTAGAAGGTCAGGTACCCGGCGTCGTAGTCCAGTAGAACCCCAATGCGCCGCAGATGGGGTGAGGGCTCAATGGCCAGCTCCTTGCTGTTGTGTCGAACCACCCAGGAGTTGTTGCAGCGGCAGAGCACCCAGGAGGCCGAGTTCTTACCGATCCATTCGTGCTTGGGGGCTGATTTGTAGGCTATGCCCACAGCATACCTGAGGAGGAGTGAAGGACTCTGTTATCCATAAGTGAAAACCACAAACCTTTTCTTCACCCAAATTTACTACTCTCACCATGTACTCCCTCCAATCAGAGCCTCCCAGTAGTGACGCCCGCTGTCAATAAAGACATTTCCCACCACGCCATAGCTGCTTTGACCAGAGAACCGGTCTTGGCTGTGGCCTTTCTTGGATGTGGTTTCGTCCCGCTCCACTGTCAGGTTGTCATGGGATATCTTCAGCTTCTTGTGAGCAGATTTGGGGTCCAGCTTGAATGGCTGGCCTGGGAAATGAGACGGAAGACATGAAATACTGGTTTTGTTTTTGGGATGTACTGCCAAAGTGGTAGCATGCATTACAGGTCACAGATAGAAAAAATGCAAGTAGTGCAATTGCAAATAATAAACCCAGTAAGTTACTTGTGTGTGTTTATACTGTACATGAATTTTCCTGTAAAGGTCAATCCTATATGGAGTGTTAAGTTTCAGTTGTCAGTCTCTTACTGTTAGTCTTCAGAGTCCCTGGTTCACTGCTTCTGCTTCCCGCTTGGTTAATGGCCTTGACAACAAAGATGTATTTGGTGCCGCTCTGCAAGCCATGCACTGTATAGTGGTTCTGCTTGATGTTGGGAACAATCATCCAGCTCTCCAGTGAGTTGCACAGACCTGGTAGGAAAGGGAATGAAGATGGAGGGGATGTGGAGAAAAAGGCACAGATTAGAGGAAGGGGAGAAAATGATATTCATGTTGTTTGTTTCCTAAAAAATATACATTTTATCATTTATAGCAGATACCACACTATGTGCTATTTTCAGAGAAGAAAAATGTGTTTAATCATAACTTTGGAATTATAAAAATATAAAGTTTTTTGAGTGATGTTCAGCTGTTTGAAAGGACAGTGTACTAACTGGTTGTGTGTGAGCCTGTGACATTGGAAACTGGTGAGAGGGTGCGAAAAGGCACAAGAGGAAACCGTTCACACCTCACTGGTTCTTGCTGGTCTGTGCATGTCTTTTATTCAGTGGTACTCCAGTACTACTGCACCACCTCCTAAGGCATATGTGTGTGTGCACACATTTTCTTTCCAGGTCATGGCTTTGTTTGCCTGAGGAATTTGGCACCATTTGCTTCTCTTAGCTTGTCAGAGGTAAAAACCAGCTGAAGTCTATATAGGCTATAATGAGCACACTTGATTATCATTTCAATGTTACAGCATCACATACAGTAAACACACTGTTTATCATCATGTTCGCCATATTCTACTGAAGACCTGCCACCTTGACCAGAATGTAATGACTTTAAAATCCTAATCTTAAAGTTAAAAAAAGCAGCTTGATTATTACGCCTGTGGTTGCTGTAGTAACAGCAAATGTGGAGGCAGCAAACTCACACTGAGGGCTCCTCTGTCAGAAATGCGTTTGTAGTGCAGCCAAACAAACTACAGAAATCCTTGAACCCTATTCATTTTCTCCTAGTTTTCTGTAATTTAAATGTATTATGAACTGACAATACGTAAAGACCACAATGTAAAATCATTTGTGCCAGAAGCTAATTAAGACCACAGCATGTTGTGGTTTGGTGACCTCTACTGACTGTATTAATAATGATGCAAACAAAAGAGCATGTTTTTAAAAAGTAGAAAATAATAATAATTTGCAAATATATCAACCTCCCAAGTAAAGGATATGGGATAGGTATACATTATTTCATGTATGGAGTTTGAATCTCATGGGGAACTGGGGAAATAAAAATAAAATTTTGTCATAAAAATCTGAGTTTGAGCTAGCTTTAGATACCCATTCTATCTTCCCCCCCCCAAAATCAACTGCTGTAGTTGTATATACTTCCAGACTTGAAGTAAATACAAATTAAAATAAACCAACACTTTGCAGCATCATTTGATTAAGCTTGTAGTCTCATACAAACAGAAGGAGCAGGTAAGAATGAAACTTTGCCGTTATCATCTTGACTCACATTTCCCAAAGGAAATCAGATTCATGGGACTGTACTGCACAATCATGCACTGGAGTTAGGGATGTTGTGTTTGTGTTTTTATTACATTAACATTACAAGACTGTTTCTCTTCTTGTGTAGTGATTCATCTGAATTAGACCTGGGGGAATTTTACTAAATGTGACTTAGATGCCAACTGCAGTGCCTCTGACATTAGTGGATATGAAGACAGCAGTAGATAAAAAGCATAGCATCTTAACAAATAACAGGTGACAAGCATCTGAAAGGGCAATAAAGTGCCCCATTAGTTTAATGGCTGTAGGTTCTAAATATGCTTTAAACTGTAAAGTAATGAGAAGTGTAACTTTGGGAAGGAAGAAGTTCCTCAGCAGATTGAGTGGAAAAAGGAGTAACGTGAAGCAGAAAAGCAAGGAGTTAATGCAGAAGAGAAGAGAGGATTTTTTTCAGTAAGATAAATCTATTTGAATATAAATGGATGAATGAAAGACAGAGAAAAGGCAATTTGCTTGAAAGTGAGCAGGGGAGCAAGTTTTTAAATGCCCTGATCTCATGTAGAAGTTGTTGCTCTCTCAGTTGTGCTTATGATTTTCTGGGTTGTGCTTGTATGCAATTGTGTGTGTACAGCATGTCAACATATACAGTGTCAAGAAAAAAGTATGTGAACCTTTTGGAATGTCATGGTTTTCTGCATTAATTTGTCATAAAATGTTATCTGATCTTCATCTAAGTCAAGAGTACTGACAAATATAAAAACAACACAAAAAATTCAGATCTTTCATGTTTTTATTGAAGACACTCATTCAACATTCAAAATGGTAGTGGAAAAAGTAAGTGAACCCTTGGAATTAATAACTGGTTTACCCCCTCGTTGGCAGCAATAACCTCAACCAGGCGCTTCCTGTAGCTGTGGATCTGACCTGCACATCGTTCAGGAGGAATTTTAATTTTAGCCCATCCTTCCTGCAGAACTGCTTTAGCTCCATCTTATTTTTTGGACGTCTCTCGTGTATCGCTCTCTTCAAGTCATTCCATAGCATCTCTATTGGGTTGAGGTCTGGGCTCTGACTTGACCACTCCAAAAGGTGGTATCAGTCCACAAAACATTTTACCTGTAACACTGTGGGGTGTCAATGTGCTCTTTCACAAACTTCAGGCGTCCAGCAGTGTTCTTTTTAGTAAGCAGCGGCTTTCTTCGTGGTGTCCTGCCATAAACACCCTGCTTGTTCAATGTTTTACATACTGTAGACTCATGAATATAGATGTTATCCAGTTCCAATGATGCCTTCAAATTTTTGGCTGTCACTCAAGGTTGTTTCTTTACCTCATTGATGAGTCTTCGTTGTGCTCTTGGGGTCATTTTGACTGGGCTAAATCAACAATTCTTGATCGTAGATCTTCTGAAAGCTCTTTTTAGTGAGGCATGGCTCACATAAGCATATTCTTCTTGTGTGGAGCAAACTCAAAAGGTGTGAGTGGTTTATATCAGTCAAAGTAGCTCTAGTCCACACCTCCAAACTCATTTTCTTAACAAGACTCCAGGTATGCTAACACCGGACTCCAATTAGCTTTTTTGAGGTCATTAACTCAAGGGTTCACATACTTTTTCCACTAGTACTATGAGTTTTTTATGGTTGTTCTCAATAAAGACATGAAAGATCAGAATTTTTTTTGTGTTGTTATATTAGGCACATTATATTCATCAGTACTCTTGACTTAGATGAAGATCAGATAACATTTTATGACAAATTAATGCAGAAAACCATGGAATTCCAAAAGGTTCACATAATTTTTCTTGCCACTGTACAGTATGTCTGTCAATTGTGTCACTAAGAGTGTATCTGGGATGGAGACTCATTCTCAGCTGTCATCTGTCCTGATACAACGGCTGACTCCTTCATTGCCATGGAAACCTCTTGCATGTATAGACTTAAGAACTCTTTATATCCACTGCATCTTATTTTTTGCTGACTGCTCTACACACTGTGGATTCTCTGCTACAGTTTTGTCAGATCTTACTCCTTTCATCCTTCACAAGCTACAGCCATTTGATGTGTGACAACATCTGAAGGTGATAGTAGCATTAAAGCAGGGGGCCTCACTTCTTTAGGCTCTACTTCCATCTCAGTGCTCTCTCACCTTTTAGAAAAGCCTGTCCCAGTTGCCTCAGGTGAGCTGGTGGCCACCAGTGAAGCAGCCTAGTACAGACAGATGACTATACAGAGCAGATCTCAGTTCTGTAAATGTACTGCTCAAAAAAAGGGAACACTTACACACATTGGATCTTGATGAACCAATTCAAGTTGAAAACCTTTACTGATGTACATTGTATCCTATGTTCAGAACAAATGACATAAGAACTGTCAATGGAAACCAAAATCATCAACCCATGGAGGCTGCATTCAAAATCACACTGAAAATTGAATCACAGGTTCATCGAAGTTGCATGAATTTTATCACAGCAATTCATAACATTACTTGAGTATTGTGATTGGCCACCGCATGCCTGTATGCACTCCCGACCTGGGGGATCTACTTCCAGACCTGAATCAGGGCACCAGTGAGCTCCTTGACAGTCTGTAGTGATACTTGGTGGCCTCAGATGCACTGATACATAATGTCCCATAGGTGCTCAGTTGGATTTAGGTCAGGGGGACATGAGGGCCAGTCAATGGCATCAAGGCCTTTGTCATCCAGGAACTGCCTACACATTCTGGCCACATGAGGCCGGTCATCATTCTGCACCAGGAGAAGCCCTGGGCCTGCTCCATCAGCATAAGGTCTGACAGTCACTCTGAGGATTTTATCCCAGTACCTCACAGCAGTCAGGGTAATGTTGGCTATGACATAGAGGTCTGTGCGGCTCTCCAAGGACCTGCCAATTCTGGTGTTCTCTGGTGTATGCCAATTGAGCTGCATGGTGCTGTATTGTAAGCACAAGTCATACTAGAGGACGTCTGGTCCCATGCCACCTCAGTGGAGTCTGTTTTTGATAGTTTGGTCAGAGACATGCACACTAGTAGGTCATTTGTAGTGCTCGTGCAGTGCTGCTTCTGTTCCTCCTTACACAAAGGAGCAGATACCAGTCCTGCTGCTGGGTTGTTGCCCTTCAATGGCCGTGTCCAGCTCTCCTGGTGTAACAGCCGGTGTCCTGGTACAGTATCTCCTCCATGTTCTTTAGACTATGCTGGAAGACACAGCAAACTTTCTTGCAACTGCACATGTGAATGTGCCATCTCGGAGTAGCTGGACTACCTGTGCAACCTGATTGGGCTGCTGGTACTGCCTCATGCTACCGATAATGACAAGGACATTAGCAAAACACAAGAATCAGTCAGGAAGGATAAGGAGAGAGCATTTGTCTGTGGCCATCACATGCAAAACCATTCTCATGTTAGGGGTTGTCTTGCTTTTGCCTCTCCATTACACCTATTGTCACTTTGATTGGCACCAAAGCGGGTGTGAAACTGATTCACAATCACTTGTGCTTCCTAAATGGACAGATTAATGTCCCTGACTTGGTTTTATACTGTGATGAAATGTATGTTACAAAATGATGCTTACATGCAGGATGTGGGACAATGGTCAGAGTTGTACTGTAGCTATGATTTTATAAATACCAAGGACATGAGACCACAACAGTGCTACAGATTCCCACTAAATGTATAGCACTATATGCCAAAAGTTTATATTAACAGAGTTGTAAATCAGCACTATTACAAGTATGTTGAGTCAGCTGTTAGCGGTACCATTTGCAGTGTACTCGTGGATGTATGGGAAATTATCACTGCATTACTTTGATACTGAAAGAAATTTTTAAAAAGTGGTAATCATGAGGCAAGTTCTAATGATTTAAGGAGTGTCCTTTTTTCTAGGATTTCTAAGGAGACTGATCAGTTTATTCTACAAAGGACATCAAAGATAGTTATATCCTCTAAATGTGTGTATCGTGTCTGTCCAGGTTTGTGTGTGAATAGAATTGTGATGTGGGGGGAAGCTTTTTTGAGGCCATTTATGGGGTGTAAAGGGTTTTAAAGTACATGAACTGCCTCAAAGACTTCAAACTACAACAACTAACGTCCCATTGTTCTTAGAACACCAGTATGCACTTCTTGTATCTTAAACCTCACACAGGACTGTTGCCCTATGTCCTTTCCTCCTCTTACATCTAGTTTGAAAATCTCTGGGTTATAAAGTACCCACCATTTTGGAAGTTCTTTCCTGTTTGTTCTAACTCAAATTTCCAGAAAAAAATGTGTCATGAACTCAGTTTATTTGATTGCTAATTGAATTTATTTTAGAGCAGACTGAAAGACTTTCATGAGTTGGATTAGTGTCTCTAGTTCGGTTAAAACTTAAACTTAAAACCTTAAATTAATTTTCTGGCTGATTCCAGAATTTCCTGTCAGCCACATATACTTACTGGCAATATTAGATTGTCCAGTGAAGATGGAATACTGGAGCTCATAGGATACCACTGTGAATTCATCATCAGACGTCCAGTGGACAGTGATGGTGTCGTAGGAAGCCGTGCACAACTCTTCCCTTATGCACGGAGCATTTGGAGCTGTAAAGAGTAAATACAATGAGCATCATCTAACAATATCTCAGGCTCTATTGTTATGTTCTGTTTGAATATAGTTGCAAATTACATTAGTTAATTCCAAAATGATGACAAATGTAGAGTTTTTCAGTTGTTGTAACAAACAATAGCCCCAATTAACTTTGTGTGTGGTAATTTGGTAGAATTTATAAGAGCAAATGGTTCATTACACACAGAACTAAAGATTTCCTTTCCAGTAGAGTGGTAGGTTGAGCATTTAAAATAATGTCAAAGCAAAAAGATAAAATATTCTGGTTAAAGGGAGCTCACATTAACATATGAGGAAGAGTAAATGTCACAGTCCTTTTAGCATTAACAAAGGTGAGTTGTTACATAACCAGAGATGCTAAACTGGCTCTCTTATACTCATGTATTGATTCATGGGCAAACTTCATTATGGGTATAGCTGTTTCTGTTCAATGTGGAAATAAATCAAATAAATTCCTTTTGTATTCAAGCCACGAAGCCTCTAGCAGAAAGCAGAGGAACTGAGGTAAAGAAACAAAGATACAGAGGCACTGCTTCAATTGATTATAAAGCCATTCTCTATCTCTTTCTGTGTATGTCATTCTCTCGCTCTCCTGAGCCCTGTGTCATGAGTGGCTGCACAGAGTGGAGTGATTCAGAATGATTCACTTAGTGAAAAGGTCCTCCAGCAAAGCCTTAATGTATCACAGAGAACAAATACAAGGTAGCCATTTTCACAGACCTTCAAATCCACTACACATGATGCCTTGTTTTTGTCCCCAGCACGCTCATAGTTCATACGGTGACATTTTGATGGATCCACACAAGTGGGATGTTGGGAATTAATGTTGAAAATTAATTGTGGAGTTAATAGGTTCCTTGAAACACAGTACTTGGAAACAGTCCTGACTTCAAAGGAATAAAAAAAAAAGCAAAATCTGAATTTAAAGATGAAGTAGAATCATAATTGGCAGCAGTCCTGAGGTGTTATGGTCAGTGAGTAGCTGCATTAAAATGATAGACTGTTCAGTACATCCAACAAAAAGATATTTGGTTTGTGGTTTTGATTAAAGTAATTACTGTGCACAACTGTAATTGCTAGTCATCAATAAATTGCTTTTGGTTTAATCAAAAATGTCTCTCACGATAGAGAGGCCTTAATAAAACCAAATATTTACCAGTGAGGTAATCCAGATTCTCCAGCAGTTTCTTCTCTCTGGTGAAGTCCAGGGCGAAGGTGTCGAAAGTGTCCGTAAGGTGGATCTCAGGGATCAGCACTTGGGTTGATGCGGTTGCCATGGAAACCCTAAATCATTACCATCAAAGATGAACAGGTTTTCATACACTAAAGTACACCAACGCTGCAACTGATCAGATTAAGGGAACCAATAATAAAAATGGGCCTGCAGGTTTAAAGGGCTAGTACAACTTGTTTAAAGCAATTGTACATTTTAGAACAATGGATCCTTTTATATGGTTGCAACTGTACTTTTAAATAACAAGTATCATAATGTGCATCTTAATTACTTTAAATACACGAAGAAACCAGATATTGGCATTTGCGCCATATCACATTACTGATGGGATAATATGTTATTAACAGTATTAACAAACTCTTCAACAGCTGCTGAATTGAACAATACTGAGCTTCAAATATGAATAAAATCAATCTGTTAATTAGTGAAGCTCTGGAGATTAGATTCTGATTGAAATGGTTTTTAATTTTATTGTTATTATAATTTTTTGAAGGACTAAAGGATAATGATTTCTTTTTTATCACTAAATATCTTAATTAGAAACCTTAAGCTGAGAGTGGAATGAAAAAGATGAAATCCCTCTCAACTTGTCTTTGCAATTGGGGAAGACACACACACACACACACACACTTTTTAAATTCTTTCTTAACATCCTTGTGTGCACTTTTTTAACCTTTCCTTAAAGCTAGATCTTAGTTTGCTAAGCTGCATAGTTCCACGACGTGTGGCCAGTGTGTGGGCTGTCTGACCTCTCATTGATGCTTTTGGCAGTCTGCAGGAAGCGAGCGTGATCGGTTTCTTTCAAAGTCTGATCAGCCTGTGTAATGAGGGCCGAGGACCTCTCAATGCACTGCTTGCAGCTGGAGATCTGCTGGGCAAGCTTCCGAAGCCTTTGTGCCTAGAATGAACAGCCCAAAGATGTCTGAGAACAGTGCTGCTAAATAATCAAGCAAGCAATAATGCACAAAAAGCTCCTCATCCTGGATTGAGGTCAATGGACATTTCATCAGCAGTTTGGCTTTTAAAGAACCCAAAAGAGCGCAATCTCAGCTCAATTCCATCAAAATGTGCAAAGTTATGTTTAAAAACACATATGGCAGACAAGAGAAACTTGATCTCAGAAGAAGTATTTTGAGTGCTACTAATTACGATCTACACCACTATCAAAAAATATTTATAGAAATAGGTTGGCTGAAAAATAAACATCCATCTTTGTTTCTCCTCTGATGCAGTTGTAAAAGCAAAAAGCCTATGTTACATGATGAGAAATCATCCCTGGAGTCTTCCAAGTCTCATTAGATAAAATCTTAAATCATCTTGGTTCAGAGTACGAGTAAACATGTCCACCCATATGCTGTGGGATCTACTTTTGGCCAGTCAGACGGTTTACACCGTCTGTTCAGAATGTGTTGGAGAGTTTGCGTTTTAGGCGGCACTTTGCTGTCTGTCTGCAATGTGGAATTGGGTCAAGTGGTTGTGATAAAGTACTGCATTGTCACCTGCTGGTATGTTGATGTTTTAGTGACAGGTAAAGGTAATGACTTCAGCAGTCAATCAAAATCTAATCCAAGCCATAGCAGTGTGAGTGGTTCTCACCCAATAACTGATATACAGTGCCTTGCGAAAGTATTCGGCCCCCTTGAACTTTGTGACCTTTTGCCACATTTCAGGCTTCAAACATAAAGATATAAAACTGTAATTTTTTGTGAAGAATCAACAACAAGTGGGACACAATCATGAAGTGGAACGAAATTTATTGGATATTTCAAACTTTTTTAACAAATAAAAAACTGAAAAATTGGGCGTGCAAAATTATTCAACCCCCTTAAGTTAATACGTTGTAGCGCCACCTTTTGCTGCGATTACAGCTGTAAATCGCTTGGGGTATGTCTCTATCAGTTTTGCACATCGAGAGACTGAAATTTTTGCCCATGCCTCCTTGCAAAACAGCTCGAGCTCAGTGAGGTTGGATGGAGAGCGTTTGTGAACAGCAGTTGTCAGTTCTTTCCACAGATTCTCGATTGGATTCAGGTCTGGACTTTGACTTGGCCATTCTAACACCTGGATATGTTTATTTGTGAACCATTCCATTGTAGATTTTGCTTTATGTTTTGGATCATTGTCTTGTTGGAAGACAAATCTCCATCCCAGTCTCAGGTCTTTTGCAGACTCCATCAGGTTTCCTTCCAGAATGGTCCTGTATTTGGCTCCATCCATCTTCCCATCAATTTTAACCATCTTCCCTGTCCCTGCTGAAGAAAAGCAGGCCCAAAACATGATGCTGCCACCACCATGTTTGACAATGGGGATGGTGTGTTCAGGGTGATGAGCTGTGTTGCTTTTACGCCAAACATAACGTTTTGCATTGTTGCCAAAAAGTTCGATTTTGGTTTCATCTGACCAGAGCACCTTCTTCCACATGTTTGGTGCGTCTCCCAGGTGGCTTGTGGCAAACTTTAAACAACACTTTTTATGGATATCTTTAAGAAATGGCTTTCTTCTTGCCACTCTTCCATAAAGGCCAGATTTGTGCAGTATACGACTGATTGTTGTCCTATGGACAGAGTCTCCCACCTCAGCTGTAGATCTCTGCAGTTCATCCAGAGTGATCATGGGCCTCTTGGCTGCATCTCTGATCAGTCTTCTCCTTGTATGAGCTGAAAGTTTAGAGGGACGGCCAGGTCTTGGTAGATTTGCAGTGGTCTGATACTCCTTCCATTTCAATATTATCACTTGCACAGTGCTCCTTGGGATGTTTAAAGCTTGGGAAATCTTTTTGTATCCAAATCCGGCTTTAAACTTCTCCACAACAGTATCTCGGACCTGCCTGGTGTGTTCCTTGTTCTTCATGATGCTCTCTGCGCTTTAAACAGACCTCTGAGACTATCACAGTGCAGGTGCATTTATACGGAGACTTGATTACACACAGGTGGATTCTATTTATCATCATTAGTCATTTAGGTCAACATTGGATCATTCAGAGATCCTCACTGAACTTCTGGAGAGAGTTTGCTGCACTGAAAGTAAAGGGGCTGAATAATTTTGCACGCCCAATTATTCAGTTTTTTATTTGTTAAAAAAGTTTGAAGCACGTTACTACTTATTATTTTGTTCAAAATATACTGTTGGTTTATTTTGGATGAATAGACAGAAGATTAGATCAGTAGATAGTGTTCTACCTGCTGGAATGGTTCAGAGAAAGCCTGGCTAAATTAGCTTTGAGCATGGGTAGTTTTAATACAAATAGTTTGTCTGCTTTATGCCATGCTAAAAATGCATATGAAGTGGAAGATGGATATAAAAACAGCAAAGGAAAATAAATGTTATCTGCTATCATACGTCTCACCCCTCTGAGTAGTCATCTCACCTTCCCCTCCTTGATCTTATTGCCAATGACCTGCCTCCTCTGCTGAATAATGTCAATCAGGACATTACACTCCTCCATGAGCTTGCCTTCCTGGCGGGATGCATTTACCTGAGAAGCAATTCATACACAGTGTTGGATGAACCAAAAAATTGATGGCAGGCAGCAGTGCGGAACATAGAGGGATATACAGTATGTTTAGCAGCTCCACATCATGTCATCCTTTAACCGGCCCTCCTGTTTGGGAGCAAACACTTTAGTAAGATGAAGCATATTCACCCATTTTGCTTCCTGCAGAATTAGTCTCTGCATTCTAGTTTTAACCTGTAGGTCCAGGCATTGTGGGACCTGCAAATTATCAAACTAATTTAGTGTTTAGTGAAATGTTGCAGCAAAACTCTTCCCAGATTTCTGTATTTATGTCTGTTTGGAGTTATGATAGTGGAGGTTCATAACAGTTTCACCACTGGAGATTTGACAGGGCCTCTGACACCATTTGTGATTTAAACACACCACACACTGTGCAACAGTTTCTAGAAGAGACATCAATGACTACGCCTAAAACTCATCATCACACTGAGAACATAAAGGTCTGTGCTTTCCTGCCTGTGGATATACACTATTGCCAAAAGTATTCACTCGCCTGCCTTCACATGCAAATGAACTTGAGTAACAACCGATTCTTAATCCATAGGGTTTAATATGATGTTGACCCACCCGTTGCAGCTATAACAGCTTCAACTCTTCTGCAAAGGCTGTCCACAAGGTTTAGGAGTGTGTTAATGGGAATTTTTGACCATTCTTTCAGAAGCGCATTTGTGAGGTCAGACACTGATGTTGGACGAGAAGGCCTGGATCGCAGTCTCCGCTCTAATTCATCCCAAAGGTGTTCTGTCGGGTTGAGGTCAGGACTCTGTGCAGGCCAGTCAAGTTCTTCCACACTAAACTCACTCATCCATGTCCTTATGGACCTTGCTTTGTGCACTGGTGCGCAGTCATGTTGGAACAGGAAGGGGCCATCCCCAAACTGTTTCCACAAAGTTGCAAGCATGAAATTGTCCAAAATGTCTTGGTATGCTGAAGCATTAAGAGTTCCTTTCACTGGAACTAAGGGGCCAAGCCCAGCTCCTGAAAAGCAACTCCACATCATAATCCCCCCTCCACCAAATTTACACTTGGCACAATGCAGTCAGACAAGTACTGTTCTCCTGGCAACCACCAAACCCAGACTCGTCCATCAGATTGCCAGACAGAGAAGCGTGATTCATCACTCCAGAGAACATGTCTTCACTGCTCTAGAGTCCAGTGGCGGCGTGCTTTGCACCACTGCATCCGATGCTTTGCATTGCACTTGGGGATGTAAGGCTTGGATGCAGCTGCTCGACCATGGAACCCCATTACATGAAGCTCTCTACAGACAGTTCTTGAGCTAATCTGAAGGCCACATGAAGTTTGGA